CACGGGGATGGGGCCGTGCCGTGGGGATGGGGGCAGGCTGTGCAGGCGGTGCCACACGGGAGGCACGCCCTCAGCCCGGTCTCGGCACAGCCGAACTCCTGGCCTGCAGTGCAGTGCACCCTGCACGGCCCTGCGCCGGCCCTCACGAAGGTACGACTGGTCTCTCTGGTTTCCTAGAATCCCACACCAGCCTCTGCGCGTGCATGTAGCTTTATGTTTAAAGGGGTTTGGGGTTTTTTAATCAGAAAGAAGTTCTAAAACCGCACAGCAGAGAGCAGTGCAATGTCAGGGTCGCCAATGCCTGCGCTTAGAGGGATGGAACAGGTTTCTTTGGGCTCAGGAGGTTTTGAAAGCATCACAGCCGAGAAGGGGGTTTGGTCTTTTCTGCAGATATTTGAACACTGTTCATCTGTTCTTGCTAATTTGATGAGAAAGGACAAGCTGTAAAGAAAAATCCTTCCAGCAGGCCAGGAAAGACCAAGAGGTAATGGAGTTTGAATAGAAATCACTTCACAGGGAATCACTACAAGAGTGTGCCTGATGCAGTCTCAGAGGTGCTATAGTGAACAGTGAAGGAGGAACACCCCGAGGCCAGACAGAGCTCGGCAGTTTGCTGCCACTCAGCAAATTCTCAGTTAACCAACTTTAAATCTAGGGGCAAATTCTCTCCTGCTAGAGAGAGGATGGGAGTCCTTTCTAAAACCTTTCTAATATGTTTGCTATTCGTCCCAGAGTACTTTTAACCCAGTGAAACAGAACTTTAAGGCCTTTGGTGTGCTTGAGGATCTCACTGTAAAGGGAGGAGTATAGGCACACTTCTTTCAGCTAGCTTGGATGCTGTCACCACACGAAAAGGAATCTGCAGTAATAACTAGAGTGACAACAAGCAAAAAATAGAAATCAGATATCTATATTTCTAGAAAACATGTGATTGAAATGACTATTCTAAAACATGACTTTAACCACAGTGATCACATTGCAAATCACCACAGGATATTCTGGTGATTTAGCCTTTGTCATGTAAAGATTCCAGATTTCCTCACTGAAGTTCCCAGCTGCCGTGCACCTCTCTGCTCCTAGGAGACACGGCACTGGAGCAAAAAGAATGAGCTCTGCTGCTGCCAGGATCACATCTTGATTAGGTGCCCTACTGCACTCTCAATACAGTTTAGGGTGAAATATGCAATCCAGTTTTAACGGGATCACAGTGTCAGCCTGAACGCAGGAAGTATCTAGTTACATTCAGGCAAGCTCCCCAGTAGCTAACACATCCTTGAGCTCAGAATAAAACCTCAGCAAGCTCTGCTCAGTCTAAGCTGTTCCCAGCTACTATTAAGTTGGTCCAGGCAGATGTATGCAAATTGTATAGGAATGTGACTGATTGAAAAGAACACTCTTTTCATGCTAAGTGTCTTTGATCTCCACTCTGTGTTTGCTGGTCATTAAAAGTGAATGTTTGATATGGGGACTTTCATTGTCATTACCCCACTAATGCTTCATTTGGGTCTGTAGCCTCATGTGATCCAGACTGAACCACAGCATAGCACACCCATATCCAGAGTAGAAGTTAAGCAGCCTGCAAGAGCCTGCTGCAGCATAGCAAAGCTGGGGAAATTGAGGTGTCCATGGTGTTCTTATAGATACTACAGAATCCTGGATTTTCTGTCTCCTCGTCAGAATCAGGCAATTCCTCAACCTGAAAATTTTTGTCGGTTATGAGAGTCTTTCATGATAGTATTACCATTTGTCTTTCCTCATGTTACATTCCTCACTAGGCACCTGCTGATGGATACTTATCTATGAGGTAAGATATTTGATCTCTGATTTTTTATTTTTTATTCTCATTTGGTACAGCCTTTACATTTATACTCTCATGAATTTAGATGACTGTTGGAAAAGGTGGAAGCTGGTGTTTCTCTGTTCTCACTGTGTTGACACTGGTGCTAAACATTATTGTTTACATTAGCATCTGGGGCTAATGGTAGTACTGTTCACAAACCCAACTTCAGAATTCCTCAGGAATCCCCTTCTGGCTGGAAGCTGTCCTGCTTTGCTGCCAGGCCAGGAATGGAGCTTGTTGTGACCCAGAAATCTGTAAGCACTGTTTCGTTGGTGATCACTGTATGATGATGAAGGTACAAATGTATTACTTCTTATGGGTGTCCTGTTGCACATGCAATCAACAAATATAGGATTCTGTTGTTACAAGATCATGGATTTGTATTATATTGATTTAGGCATGTACCTCCACAAGCCATTAGTTTTTCCCTTCCCTGTTAGGTAAGAAAAATTAAAAAAAAAAAAAAGTAAGCCAGTCACACCACTCTACTTCTCATTGGGTTGCTGTGGTTCTGTGGTTACACTGTGTTTTCTAATGACATCAGTGAAGGCTCTGTAGTTCTTGAATGCTAGATTGTTTTGGTGCTTCTTTTGCTTGAAGAAGAAAAATAGTTGAAGGTTAAAAAATTATTTGGCCATTTGTATCTTTCCTTCTAGTTATGTTTTCATAAGTAGGTGATTAGTGCTAGTGGTTACATAGAAGTGGTGATTTTATTATTAGTTTTATATCAGACAGATACAAATTGTTCTAGTTGATACGGAAACATAACTGGATTTCCACTATGTAAATAAACATTTCATTGTTTCCAGACTTTGAAGACTACCCCAGAGATCCCCTTTGGTCTATCTAGCTTGTCCCACTGTTTTTCAAGGCTGTTTGTGCTGCTTTGAGTTCTTCCATTTCTTCTGTAATACAGAACAGCTGATCAACCTTGTTTATGTGAACTCAAAGTCCACAGGGCTTCAAAAAGTTACAGAGTAAATTAATGAAAGAGAAATCCCTTGAGGCTGTTGGAGACAAAGTCACCACCCTTTGAAGTTCCTGAGCTGCTGGTGAAGGAGGGCTGGAACAGTATTTTAGGAAGGTTTCATAGCATGCTATCATTGATTGTATGCTCTTCCCTGCCATCTGCTCTTGGGCACTGCTGGGAAGTGGACAGCTGCTAGTGTGTCTTTCAGCATCATTCCCATTCTCTTTTTTCCTGCCTGCTCTGTCTGGTCTTGAATGATGCCTACAGACACTGTAGAACATGTCCTGTTTTATTCGTATTCATTTATATTCTACTCTTCCTGATTATTGCAAATAATCATGCAATACCATGTGTGAAATAAAGAGTTACTGCTGCTGTGCTCTTCCGTTAGGCATCAGTAGAACTGAGAGTCTTTTTGGTATTCCCAGTGAGTGAGCAGTGACTGCAGCAGGGCTGAGAGCCAAGGGCACAGTCTGCTGTGCAGTTTGCCAGTTTCAAAAAGATGAGCTATAATATTTCATGATTAACAACTTACAAACAGTACAAATAAGATGCATGACTGCATTATGTGTGTGACTTGGGAAGGGAAAAGAAAAGCTAAACACAGTATTACCAGCACTCTTTATTACCAGTAAGCTAAACACTTTTATTACCAGTATAAAACTCCAGCCAGAAATGGATTCAAATACTAATCCTTAGTAGGTGGCAGCACCTAAATCATTGACAAGATTTTCCAATCAGAGATCTTTCTTGGATACAAAAGAATGGTGCTTATTGGTTTTGATCCTTCAAAAACCTATTCCTTCTGTCATAAAAATCTGCTGGGTAAAGAATGTTTTAAGTGTCTGAAAATTGTTGAAAGCAGTGATTCCTCTCTCTGTTTCAAGACAGATTCACAGTACTCATTACTAAGTCTGCTGCTGATCCATGCAGTAACAGGACAGTATTGGTAATGGCATATCCTCTTTAGAAATGTCAAAGGACTTTAATGCAACAACAACAACAACAACAACAACAACAACAAATATCAGGACATTTACTATTAAACTTGCAAACTTTCAAGATAAAAATTTCCCAATCTGTATCAGTACAAAATTGCCATATTTCACAGATTATCAGTAGAAATCTAAAAGGCCTGCCAGCCTTCAAAGTTTTATACTGAAAGGGCAGAGAGTGAGGATAGTCAGTGCTCCAGGCATGCTTCTGCCTTTGGTGTCAGATCACAGGGCAGCAACCTGTGGGTCTCACTTCCCAGCAGTACCACAGCCTTTGGGCAAGTGGCTCTTCTCCTTCCTGTCTCTGGTGCTGAACACAAAGTGTTACTTTGACCCAAGGAAAGTTTTGGCATGCATGATTTAATTGCTGCATTCATGCATGTGCACAAGTGCACAGAGGCTTTTTCAACAGATGAGAATTCTCTGTATGAGCTTTCTGGACAATTCTAGTTAAGTGAAGGTGACTAATTGCATCAACTCACCCCTCACTGGAAAGTGTCAGCCTTGTATTCATACAAGACTCTGCATTGCTTGTAGAATCTCTTGATTTGAAATTATGCTGGGGTGTTCTTTTGAAATATTTTATTACGAAAGGGCCAAGGGCTCTCTAGTGATCACATATCATCAATGCATCAGTTTCCTGCTGAAAAGACTAAAAGTAGCACTCTAGCAAAACATGGAAATATTTTCTAGACAGAAACTGGAAACACTGATTTTCTGATAATTTTTAGGTTTTACTTCAGAATAGCGTCAAGGCAATGTATTGCTGAATAAGTGACAGGTTTTGCCAAGAGTTTTTTTGTAATAGAATGTGGGTTTAGGTAGCAAGAGACGCCTCCAGGCATACTCAATACAGTTATGCATATTTCATAAGCATATTTTTAGATTACTATATTTTATTGTATATGTTTAATAGATTTAAATCCTAAATCTACTTTCCCACACTACCTGCTTCACATGCAACAGGCAATTTCCAGCTTCTGTTCTTCCAGTTCTGGTGCAGCTTTCTGCTACACCTAAACATTTCACTAAACTTTACCATATTGTTACTATTACATGACAAGTAAGATTTTGTGACTTATTCATGAGCTTAAAGCCACATGAACAAGTTTTTAGTGTGAATCTGATTAGCTGGCTGCACATGCCAATGCCTTTAATCCATATACTGGTTTCCATGACAATTAAATCAAGTAAAGAAAAGATTAAGTTAAAAGGAAGTTAGGGAGACCCAGATACTGGTCTAACTGGCAGCATCTGAAGTTCAATTTGTCATAACAGTGACTTGAACTTGGAGTCATATAATGGTAACTGCCATAGCATAACCAGAAGAAAAAAGACTGACTAGTTATCGAAAAGTAACTGGACCTTCACTGGCCACTGAAATGTAACAAATAACACAGAACACTTCTGGTTTCATTGTAAGGTGGAAAGATCAACACAAGAGTTTTTGCTACATTAGGCCTAATCTGGATTTTTTGATATCAAAGCTTCAATGTATTTTTCTTTACAGGTTTAATACTCACATCCGTAATTTCTGTTCTTCTGCAAGGACTAGACTTAAACTTAGTTTTAAATTCACTATTTAAACTGAAAATCTAACATTCTGACAAACTAGAAAAAATCATTTCATGTTGGTAAAAAAAGTTATTTTGTTATAAATCTGATATAGTTAAATATAAACACTATTTCAAAGAAGTCCAAGTATTTGATATAAGAATACCAACACATTTCCTTTTTTTTCTCACTCTTTCATATACACAAAAATTTCCCAAAATAAATATTGATGTATTTACTGTGAGTGGAACAGGTTATTAAATTCAAGTACTTCATATCTCTAGAGCAGATCAGGTGCTGCGTGTTTCATGTTCTGCATGTTGAAAAGTAAACCAAGAGCATCCATGTTGTTGAATGCAAATCAACTTTTTGAGGGAGAGCAGTTTCAAAAGGTGCCATGTTTGGAAGTGTCATTCACGCTGTGTGCAGCCAGGCTGACTCCCTCTCACTTCCTGCAGCCTCTTCCTTCTGCCACCTGACTTCCACCGGTGCTGTGCAGGTTGTTCCCTCTCCTGTAAGTCATCCACTGCCTGGGCAAGACACAGCCTGCCTCCCCTTCCAGTTCAGGGATTTGTTGGATGAGACACAAACTATCAGGTCCTTTGAAGCATCCAGCACTGGAAAACAAACCAAGAAAACACATGCACACACTTAGCATAGGGAATGCACTCCTTCCAGGAACCATAAATCAACTGCTTAAGGTATATTTCTGACTGAGGCGTTTGAAACACCACTGAAGCTTTTTTCTCAACTCCCATGAAAGGACCACACCTTCCTTGTGGGCAGTGACATTAAAGCAATTGCTGTATTTAACGAAAGCATGTGGAAGCCTGGTCTTCTTTAGTCGTAAAATATGAAGTAAAAACATGATAAAAATAATGCAAGTTTTTCTGAAAATTGCAGTATAAGTGATGACATTAATGTGAGGAATTTTTACATCAGATATGTCCCTGTGGCTTACATAAGAGAGGAGGAATAACATGAGTTTGAAACCTATTGGTAAAATCACAATAATGATACTAAGTTATTGCAGAGAGATGAAGAAGGAAAAGAGCTTAAGAGATGTTTCATCTTAGTGAGTGAGTACTATAAAAAGAAGACCAGGCAAATAGTCATAAAATACAATATGATATAATGAATTAGTTCGGCATTATGATAGAAAGGAAAATATTATTAATTTGTGAAGGAGACAGTCATCTTTGCTACAGAATTAAAAGTGAAAAAGCTTTTATAAATGCTGCCCACACGATCTAACACCTCACCAAAGCTCAACTATGAAACCAGCTTATTCTGCTGATTACTGCTGTTCTAGCCATCTTTCCTGCATGTAAAACATTAAGTCAGCCAGTTATGAAGCTGTCAAATGTTTCCAAAGTGTCACTTACCAGAAGGATTTGATAACTTACAGAGAAATGAACTGTTTTGCTTCCTGATCTTGATTAAGTGCTGCTAACATACCACGTTTTCTGACAGTTTCAAATGTGGATTATTTTTGGCACTTGTTTCCCCACCACCAAGTACTTTTACAATTTTTATCCAGCTCATTTAATCTATATTTTTTGTATGATGCAAACAATTTAGGCCATAGTACCACCTAAGATCCTTTGTAGCACAGGAGAAGAGGCCTGTTTTTAATCACCCATTTGTTTGGCTTCAAACAAAGTAGAAAGGTGACAACAGCAAGAACTAGCAGCTCTGTTTGGCAGGTATGAAGGCCAGCTCTGAAAGCATGCAAGATGAAAAGAAGCCTTATCAAAGCTTCTACTGAACTTCAAACACCTCAGCTTTCCTCACACACCAGCACATGGAAAGAGGTATCTGGAGTTCAGCTGAAGGCCAGCAGAGATCCAACTTCTCCTGAGAATTTTCACAGGAAGGAAGGATATTGAAATATATCTTACAGCTGATGATGTTGCAAGTGCCCAGAACTAAGTACTGGGAAGTTAGGACAAATCAATCCCCTCACGATTTCTAGTTTGCAGATGGAAGACTTTCCAGTTTGCACAAAAGTAAGCAGTACTTCTGCTGGCCCCTTTCATCACTAGTTCAATGAAGCTACAAATTGCTAAGGAGAAACCCTACAAACAAGTCTATGGTGTACTAAGTTAACTAACCCATTTAATGTAGAGCAGGATTAGTTTATTGCCTGTGTATACTGAACTGTAAGAGTCTTTGGGGTCTGGATATTGAGTTTCTAATTTGAAAAAGACCTGGATTATTTGCTCAGTGTATATATTTTTATTTATATAAAACCAGCAATCCTATATTTTTCATGTCAGTGGCAACCTTGGCCCAAACTTTAATATTCATTTCCTATAGAAAACCTACATCCCAGGCACTGATCTATCTGGGAAGAATAAAGCACCCTGCTCTTTGTTCCAACTTTCCACACAACTGCTGCATCACAGGATGTAGTCATCTAAAAGTACCACCTATTGGAATCATATAATTATGTGAGAAATTCTATTTTCCCTGAAAGCAAGGTCTTGCTTTTTGCTGAATGAAGCAGACCAGACACAACATTTTCAAATACTACTCTTTGAAAACAGCAGTCAGAAAAGAATGAAGAGGAAAAGCCATCAAAGAAGAAACTGAGAACGTTTTGTTCAACTGGAACTTCATAATCACTAAAAAATGTTCAGTAAAATAGAAAAATGTGACTGTGATTAAGACAGCTTGCTATAGAAATAGAAATAGAATTACATTTGAAAAGTCGAAAAAGGAAAGAATAGTGAAATTTTGAGTAGATAACAATCTCTTAGTTCATGGAAATATCTGCCATGTTACCTTGGCTGCAATTACTAATGACTGCCAGTGAAGTTTTGTCCCTAACCTGAACTCTTCCTTGCTTCATCCCTTTAGTAAACAACAGCAATTTTTATACTGACTTCAGGCACAATTTTTACACATCCCCCTTCCCACAATTTTTAAGATCTTTTATGAATAATTGTTATGTGCAAGGGCCCCACTACTTAGCTGTTATAGAAGCTACCTCAAAATAACTTTTACATGTTCAGGCAAGAATGCAGTTTGCAAATGTTAACAATAAATTTGTTTCAGTAATGCATAAATCCATGCTCTACACCAGCCTTCTTTGGTTTGGATTTCATGTTACAGCTCTTAGATATGTCATCTGATTCCTGTTTATGCCTCTCCTAGATGTAGAGCTCTTTAGTCATGGTTCAGATCGTTCCTATCACAGACAAAACTGTTCATTCTCTGGTTGATTTTTCAGAACTCGCCCCCCAGCAATAGCTTTGTTCCAGTGAAAGGAAGAAGCCTGATGTATATTACCTTCCAAGGTACTTTGCCTCCAAGCCTCAGCTCAGCTCCTCACACACATACTCACACTCTTTGGACCTGCAGAGCTCAAAGTCAGTAGTGAAGCCAGGAATTATCAGATCCATTAGGAGGTACCTGGCCAATGCCAGCACTGGTTATTGGAAAACAAGAAATTAGACCCAAGGGAGTCTTGAGCAAAAGTCAGATGTTTAGGAAGGATAGCAGTAGGTCAAAAATGTCTACTCTTGCATAGCCTATAAGTGATTGATAATTTTTTTTTTTTTCATTTATTAAGTATCTGTGGAAAACTGAATTAATGAACTTTCTCTGCAGACTCAAGGCCTGGCAGAGTAGTGAGTCCAGATTCACGTATTCCTTCAAAGAGTGAGAAATCTCTAATCCTAAAACGATAGAATACTCATCACCTACTCACAGAGCAGCTGTGTGGGAAACCTTTGTCGTATGCTTTTCTGTATCAGATATGACTCGGATAATTGAAAATGACAAGGGAAAAAAATGGTTCAGATAAAGAAGTGGATGAAAATGAAAGTAGAATACTGGGGGCTGGGAGTAGTGTATGCATATGCCATTGTCTTTGATGCAGACAAGTATACCTCTGAATTTCCACCCATCCAGCCAGAAACTCACGCTCTCTGTTTCACAAACAGGCTAACAGGTCTCCTAAAGGGGTGGAGAACACATCAAAAGAAGCTCTTCCTGAACCTCACCAAGCAGTATGGTCTCATAATCTGGCTGTCCAGGTAAGATACTCAGTTGTGTTTTAAAACTCCCCATTCTAATGAGCAGAGTTCTGAGACCAAATCCTTTCATCTTTGTTTTGCACATGCTTCCCAGAAAGAGTCATGATTTCCTCTTTATTGCATTTTCTGGGATGTACACTGATATAGCACCTGCACCTTTCATTTCGGTACTGCTGCGATCTTGCAGAACACTATATTTGACTTTTATATGTTAAATTTTTTGATACTGATAGTGAAAGATGCTTCTCCCTGCTATCAGGGAAAAGCACAGACCTTGAGGTTCTGGAGGGCATCACAGGACCATGGAAATTCCCTGAGGTCTGGGCTCTGCCCTCATCAGAGCTAGCTGTTATATGGACCATAGGGAGGTAGGTATAAATATCATCTCTGCAGGTACATATGCTCCACTCATCTCTGTAGTGCCAGATATGAATGATGAGAATACCATTGTCAATAAAATCTGAACTGAAATCTCACTTTGGTCTTCACTGCTACATCTGCTGATTTGAGTGCACCTACTACCCTGCCTGGCTTAGAACAAAAGTAATAAAGCATTATGTAACATTTAGCTCAGAAAAAGCTGCCACAGTGGTAAAGAAAGCCAAAGAAAATTAAGCACTGTGGAAACAAGAGAAGATTGGAAGAAGGATCCACTAAGGATGAAGAGAATATCAGAACAGACAGAGAATTTGGGCAAAGTAATTTCTAATAAGATAATTAATAAATATCATACTGATAATAATTTAAGTGCAGGAGGCAAACACAAAATATTGCTACTATTGTATATGAGATTACTGTTTCTGTTATGCTCTTCCATAACCTTCACTATTCAGCTATTTTAGTAACCTGTTGCTTACTTATGGCAGAATTCTTCCTTGGTTGTTACAGACTAAATGTCTCAAGGAAATGCAGGTGTACTGAGAGGAAATTGCCCAGGTGGATGCAGAAGGCCTAGGTCAGCTCAGAAATGGAGGTGAATTGGAATATACACAGATTCTGTGCTGACACAGATTCACAGCCAGCTGTGGCCAGATGTCATAAGGTTATGGATACAGATCCAAAGCATCTCTTCACCCAGGAGGGATAGAAATGTACTGTCAGCTTAGAAAATAATGTACTTGAACTGCTTTTAGATTGCTTAAGAAAAGTAAGTTCTTGGTCCCAGTATAGAGGAATTGCCAAGGAAAGGGAAAGAAACCCCAGTCGACCCCTGATTAGGAGCCAGACACATGATTCACTACTTGCTGTGGTGGAAAAAATTTCCCTGGATAATTATTCATGCTTGTTACAGCTTCTACAAGCTGTATGTGTGGGTCAAACCTATTTTTCATTATGGGTCATGGAACATATTTGCCTGATCAGGCTACACTTAAAAGGGCAGAAGTTTGATCATTTTGCAGTGACAATAGATATGTGATCTTTTACCATTTTTTATCCTCAAAACGCCAGGGAGCAAAAAATTAGGAAAAAATACCACACTAATGTCAGAATACTTAAACACCTTCAAAAAAAGGATATGTCATCAGACACTACTTTTATTTAATGCAGCACACTTGTATATCAACACTGAGAGAGCAGTTAGCACCTGCAAACACTGGCAAATTGAGAATGTGAATGTGTCTTTGCGCAGTTGGAGGTGGTGACAGATCAATGGACAAGAGAGGAAAAGCAGACTAAAAGAACTATGAGATTTGGTGTTCTGACACCTGCTGCCACTGCAAGAACATGGAATAAAGGGTTTGGCTGCACACCTGTGCAGACAAGAAGATGGATTCATAGCTGTGAAGCAGAGGCACACACTGCCAGTGTTTTGGGTTGCAAGGTGAAATTTTGATAGCAAAGAGTCAGATTAATAGATAGTAGCTGAGAATTCTGAAATTGTTTTAAGCTCCAGCAGCTTTGTGTGTTGACTGGCATTTAGTCAGTGAGAGTGTCAGAGTGGTGCAAAGGAAACAGGATTTGAAACTAGGACAAGTTTTTTGTTTAAACATGTACAGGAGGTGCTGTCAAAGGCATCACAGCTACCTTCTGCAAGTGAGTAACTGCTGGAAGTGCAAACTTGATTGGTGGTGTCTCTGAAGCACATCACAGCAGCTGTAACTAGGCAAATAGAAGAACTGACAGACTGTAATGGTGGCTGGCTGAGGAAGAGAGCTGAGAACAGAAGTGTTGGCGTGAGCACACACTCTGTCTCTGAAGGGCAAAACACAGGGTCAGGGAGGAAAGGTTCATGTTGTCTTCACTGCTTTCTAACATGTAGCCACTTCCTGTTTCTTCTGAGAATGATGAACAAGAAATGAACTTGAATTTGGGCAAAGCTTCAAGGTTTTTATTGAATGGTACATAACTAATAAACAAGATTATACACTGTCAGTATTTTCATGGAAAATAGACTTCATTAAACACAGCAACATACTTCTGCCTTTTGGATAGATGCTAATTTAGCATTTGTAAATCATAAGGCCCCAGTAGAGCTGGAGCATTTTCCCAGCACAGCCTAAGAGGGCTCCTGCTGGAGCGTTTTCTCTAACCAAACTGTCAGTACAGGCTCAGAGATCATCAGTCAGCTCATCACAGCACTTCTGGGACACAAAGCCACTTAGGGGAGCTAAGATCAGGCCTCTTGAGCAGCAGTGTCACCAATGCCAGCCTATGGGGAGGCGTCTGTGGAAGTGCAGTGCACTAATGCCAGAAATGGAACCAATAAATATCAATGCAGAGAAAATGTCAACATTCCTTTGTACATTAGTGTGCTCTCCTACCTCTGCCCCCCAGGCTTGTAGATTAGCCTTGCAATGACACACAAGCCTCTGTCATAATAGTGTTTGGATTTCAGTTGATCAGTAGGCATGATGAAATTTGACAGTAAGATGCTCAATTGCAACAGCAATAGCTCTTAATGCTATGCACATATATATATTACATATTGGTATAATACACCTCAAAAAAGTCAATGGCTTAATGTAGCCATTTTTGTGACAGGGTTAATCTTCAAATATGAATACATATACTATTTTTTCTCCTCCAAACCATAGAAATTACGAAGAATATTCTTTCACCTTCCTGTATACCTTTTGTAAAAAGACAGTTAATTTATTTCTTTAACGGAAATGAATTAGCAGACCCTCCATTCCAGCTAGGAAATGGTTTCTCTCTTTCCTTGTTACAGTCAACACTGATGTGGAATGGAATCACTTTTTTCTCTAGCTTTTCAGAAGGCATTTTCACATAGACTCCAGTAGTGAGACATCGTCTTCTCTTTATCTGTAACATATGGAAAGAAAGTAAAATAAACAAGCAATCACAGCATAATAATTAACCAGCACATTTTAGAGAAACTGATGGACATTCTTCCTTTACTGAGTAGAATGTATTCTAGACACATTCTATTTTTCAGCCTCTTTATAGAAGATCTGTTAAGAGCATTTGAGGGAGGATCAGGATGTATAGGGCTATTTAGGCAAAAAAGAAAAAAGTCCTGACATTTATTTAGCCCTTTGAAGATGCTCCTGATTCAGAGTTCAGTGTTGGTTCAAAGCTAGGAGTGTTCATACCTGACACATACCCTAATTTCTAGGGACAAGGAATGATTGAAGAATATGGGACGGACATTGGTTTCAAGCTCATGTTCATTTCTAGCAGACTATGAGTGCTGCAGACCCCCGTGGAAAAAGGCAACCCAGGCTTACATTTGGCATGCTTTTGCACAGATATTTCTAGCCCTGAAATTAAAAATGCTTAAAGTTACACTTCCCCATCCAAGGAGAAGGCTGTTTAAATTTGCTTTGCAGAGGTGAATGATGAGAAAAAAAACCAAACAAATTCTGGGACTTTGTGTGAATCATTTGTGAAATGAGAGTACACATGAAGACTGTTGTCTTCAATCCCAGAAACATCAGGACTTTGCCTTGTTTTAAGCATCCAGCCATAAGCCGAGGCTCAGTCCAGCTGATGGAACAGCTGACTGCTTTCTAGTATGCTGACAACACAAATGATCCGTAAATAAATATAAGTAGCAGCTCCAGCAAGTTCTCTTATTTTGCATTATTGTAATAACATTGCACTAGTAACATGGAGCATCCCATTGGGATCCATTGTTCCCAGTGTTCTTCCCTGTTCTCATTTCATTTTCCTTGTCCTCATCGCACAAAGGGGTATTATTAGCAGAAGGGGGCTGAGTTGATGGGACTTACCGCTTTGCCCACAAGAATGGCTGAGATGATGATACTGTAAAGAAAAAATCCTGAGGCAGTAGCTCCTAATACCCAGAGATATATGGCAGTGTCTGGACAAGGTTCTGGATCTAAAACATATGATATCACACAAGTCATGTCACACATGAGCCTCATAAGGAAGGCCCTAGAGTCAATAAGTCAGCCTCTACACTGCTTTTCTCTAGTAGGTAGGTAGGTAGGTAGATAGATAGATAGATAGATAGATAGATAGGTAGATAGATAGATAGATGATAAACACTGCATGGTGTTGCTTATGCTATCATTCCATGGCTATGACTGTGCTTGCTTTGGGTGTGTGCAGGGAGACCTGTAAAAATAAGAGCTAATCAGATTTAAGAGCTAATAAGATTTTCAGAGCTGAAACCAGTATTCACCCTCACTTCTTACAAACAGAACTCTGAAGACCTTTGAGACGTAATAGCAACTCCCTTAACTTGGAAATACCACAGTACTGTAAACCTGCTTGCCTTACCAATGACATAGAGATGTGTCCCATTGCCCTTGTTCATAAAATAGGGTGGGGGGTACATGCGCTCCATCTTGCAAATGTAAAGCCCGGTGTCATTTGCTTGCAGGCCAGCCAGGGTGAGGGTCACATTGTTTTGGCCGGGAGTAACATGGCACTGAATGACCTCTTCCACAAAGAATGTTTTAAACTCCATGGTGTATGATGAAGCACAGATTTCTGTGAACCGGTCACCAGTCTGTTTAAGCAAAGTCACTCGAATTTCCTTTGCATTCCCAATGTTCTTGTATTTACACACC